CCAAAGCCCAGTCCCCACGACCTCGGAGGCTGATTTTGGGTCCGGGGTTTGGGTTTAGGACCAAGGTGTGAATTGAGTTTAGGTTAGTTTTAGGGTCAGGTAGGTACCTGTGAGGTTAGCCTTAGGGTTTGTGGTCAGGGTTAGGCTGTAGAAATGTAATAGCAGTCAATGGAATGTCCCCAAATGGATAGCTGTGCAAACTTGTGTGTGTTTGTGTTAACAATCTGTACACAATTTTTATTGAGCCCTCAAAACTCTGTCAAACAATGTTTATATATAGCACTGCAAATATCACACACAACTTCTCCAGTGTTGTAGCTGAACATGTTTGTGAATAGTGTTTGTATTAACCATGAAAACTCAGTGAAGGTAACAAAACCTACAGTAAGTAATTCTCACTTTTACCATACTGAACATAGACCAGAAAACTCTTTACTTAAAAGCAACAAAGTTTGGTTTCAGTATACTTGCGGTGCTCCTTACTAAGTGCATTTAAAATAAAAGCTCTTTAAAGGCACATTGTGTAGGATTTTGTAAATTCTTTTAGCCGAAATTGAGATAATCACTAATGACAATAATAAAAAACATGTCTAATCATTGCAGACAAAGAACTTGTTTTATTATTTTTACCTTATAAAAAGCTGTTTATATCTCCATGGTCGCGGTTCGCCACACAGGCAGCCGCCATCTTGCATCGCCATCTTGTCTACGAAGGCTCATGAAGGACAAACTGCGGTGGCGGCGTCAAAAACGGGTTTACCGGTAGTTGTAATACTATAAATGTAATATTTTTTGTCTTTCTGCTACATTTACATGGACAAAAGTAATCAGATTAAAAGGTCGTTCGGAATAAAAAGTGTGTCATGTAAACAGCCCGTTTGGATTATGTTGATCCGATTGAGCTCGATCTGAATGAATTTTTAATCCAAATGAGTCGGGTGGGTTTTGCCGATTGATAATCGGAATGACGTTCATGTAAACACTTAATCGGATCATCTTATTCTGATTGTAGAAAACTGACCTGTGTGCACATGTCTGCTGACTTTCATTCACCCTGTGGGACAGCAGCACTGCAGCTGCGCTGCACCGTGCAGAACTTTTCCTCTGCGCTCTGTCAACAGATGAAAAAGGAGGCAAACAGCAGATGTTGCTTCACAAAAAATAATAATAAAAAGCACATATTGCTTCATCTGCAGGCTGCAGCTCAACCGAGGAGTAACGGCGTCTCTACCGTTATTAAAAGTTGACACAGGTCCGTCCTGAGCACACAGAGGAGCTTTGTTTACGTTTGTAACAGAAGTAGAACTGAAAGTTTACAACACTGCGCATGTCCGGACTTTTATTCTGAATAAAACTCVGGTGCATGTAAACACTTTTCATGATCGGATTGTGTCCATGTAAACAGTACATTCGGATTATTTAATCCGAATACATTTCAATCCGATCAAAACATTTTGTGCATGTAAACATAGCTAGCTGGGATAATTTTACTTATTAAGGCTCATAATCTTACCACTTGAAACATCACTAGCCCTGAAGCTGCTGGTAGACATRGCGGTTGGAATTATCAAAGGTTTTTGACACCTGAGAGACACCGTAGCAACTACTTTGTGTTTGGAAGCGGGGGTGGGGGGAGGACCAGGGAGGATGATTCAATCACTCAACCACTAGATGTCGCTGAAAACAACAAATCCTACACACTGTGCCTTTAAGTCACAACTCCAAATATTTTTGCTTTATTTATTTTTTGTTATGGTGCCCATCTGGTGACGTTGGATGAAAACACTTTATCTTGTGACTGTGAGATAAATAACGCATGGCCATGTGAGTATAAGAAGTGGCCACGAGATAATTTTGAGAGGTGTGTACAGCAGGACCATCCAACTAAATGTCTTCCACAGTTACTACAGGCCAACAGCTCAGGGGCCGAACATCCAGCTGTTAAAGTTACCATGTAAATAAACCAAGTATTACAAAGATGTGTTACCTTTGAATTAGTTTTTTTTTGCATTTAATCATAAATTCAACATGCAGAACCCTGTGTAATAAAACTAGTGACAATGAAAAATTTCAAGAACAAAAATAACATTATGCCTCATATTTAACACAAATAATATTTTGACAACTCTGACTTTCCAAATTTTTAAACTAATTTTATTTCTACCTATCTTAATTTTATTTTCAACTGCTTGGAGTTTTAATTGCAACACAACTGCAACTCCTTCCACAGCAAAGGCTCTGTGTGAGAGAGGAGCCAGTTAAACCTGTGTTAAACATAAAAATAAATAAATAAATAAATAAATAAATAAATAAATAAATAAATAAATAAATAAATAAATAAATAAATAAATAAATAAATATACAACTCCAGTTGTCACCTTTGTTTCATAGCTCCAACATGTAATGCTAAGAAATACTTCATGCCTAACGTAAGAAACTGAAGTATGTCGTTCATTCTTTAATTAAATTAATTCAATCTTATACATGTAAACAATCAACTGCATTATCTTCTGGTCACAACATAATTATTGTGTAGCCACATGTTATTATCACAAGATTTTTTTTTTTGTCCTTGTCACCAGACGGGATCCGTATTTTGGCATTTTTTATGCAAAAGATCGCTAAAATACCACTAGTAGTATTTTAGACAGTAAGAGGGTCCACACTGATGGGAAATCAAAATACAGGCATAAAAACCATTCTTAGGTTTGCTAAAGATTTGTACAAAACTTGTTTTCTTTGATAAGGTTTCTTTTTAGTTACTAAAAATTTCAGCGCATGATCAAAGTTAGACTGTAAGAAATCCAGGGTGAAAGGAAGCAGATACAGAAGAAGTATTGAAGCAGCTCCTTGGTAGTTTTTTTTTAAGGTTAATATTTTGAATATATCAGTTTATCTCAACAAAAATGTTGAATGTTGAAGTACGGTTCAGCTGAAACTCTCTGATTTAATAAAAATCTACAGAGTTGTGTGCTTTTTTTCACTCACATTTTCTAACTTACTTCACTGGATGAGAACAGAATCAAAAAAACTTAAAAAATGAGAGCAGCTTTTACAAGGACTGTTAAAATGTATGTAAAAATAAAGGCGAAGAAGAGCAGTCAGATGTAAATGGCTGGTATCATGCAGAAGGCTAATGAGAGGAACCTGTTAATTACAAGATGTGATCTAGACCTTGAACTTATCAGTCTAATTAGCATCAGTTTATTTTGTGACTGAAATAAAGTTATAAACATGACCAAGTTCATTTGTATATCTGTCAGCCCATAGATTTTTTTAATTTGACATTTTTGTGAAGTGTAATTCTGTCTTTATTCTCTCTGTTTCCCTAAATATCTCATATGCCTTTCTACTGTCTGGCTGTCTTACATCTGCCTCTGCTGTCTCATGTTTGTCTCAACTATAGAAAGTCTTTGTCACATACCAGGCTGTCCTCCACCTGTCTGTCTTGAGCAACTGTTCTAAGTTTGATGCTGACAAGTGATTGTGTATTTGTGACTCTTTAATTGATTGATCCTTCAGGCCTCCAGTGAGTCGAGCGGCTCCACAACCTGAGAAACTCCAGAAAAACAATGTGTCCAAGAAGAAGAGACTGGTTGAGGTACCACTCTGTCTCTCTAAATGTTGTGTGTCTCTGTGGCCTGTCCTCATCTTTTTTCCCCGTCTCCTCTTTGTCCTCTGCCTGCAGGACCTAGTTCTGGATCACATCTTTGGTTTTCGGGGCTTTGATTGTCGCAACAACCTACACTACCTCAATGACGGCTCTGACATCGTCTACCACACTGCTGCCACTGCCATTGTCCACAGTCTCAGCACCGGTAACCATATACATATGATGTACAGTATAAAAAGTCTTGGGTTTTCTAAAATTTGCAAAATAACTTTAGTTTCCTTTTTGAGACTGGTGATTCTGATAAAAGGTTTTCCGACATCAACATCAAAACTGTTGTGAAGTTTGGTCAGGTACAGTTATCTGTGTGTTGTCTTGAGTATACGTTTAAAAAGTTCATCGTAGCATCATGTCCGGCAGTGCTGGAAAAGTGTTATTACCATCTCTGTGCCAAAGATGAAAGTCAGCTGTCTGAATGACTACTGACATCAATAAACATGAAGTGTTTTGAAAAAATTACTTTTGTCCTGTCTAAAACCATGACTGACCGTTAACTGGACTCTACCGTTTGCTCATGAGTCAAACCTCTCTGTGAACAATGCTGAGGATCTCAACATTCATTATTTTCTGGAGCTCCTGGACAGAAAGAACTGCAGATTTTTGTTAGTTTTTCAATTCAGTTACCCCCTTCCATCTGTTGACAAAACTACAGGTTTCTCTTGCCATCTTGCAAATGGATTATAGACTTTCTCACCAACAGGACTCAACAGGTGATGTGTGGTACTCACCTGTCTACTCTCTGCACTACCAACACGGGTGCACCACAGGGATGTGTACTTGGGATCTGTTCACTCTGTACATCTACACTCTCATCTATCAATCTCACTGTATATCTTGTGAAATACGCCCATGACCTCACCATCCTGAACCTTATCGGCACTGTTGATGAGACAAACTATGGAAACTGCATTTCAGACCTGACGGTGTGATGTACATAACATGGATTTAAACACCAACACGTCGACTGAGATGGTTATTGACTTCCAAAGAAATCCACCTTTATATCCTCCACTCAGCTATTATGGCACTAATATAAAGGAAGTGGACTTTGTTGACAGCTCCGTCAACAAAGACCTGAAATGGGCTGAATGCACAAAACAAGGTTCTTAGGAGGATGTACGCATTTAGGGTGCTTAAAAGCTAAACATCTCCACTAAAGTGTATGCCCAGTTCTACAGGCAGTGGCGACTGCAGAATTGTTTATTTATTTATTTATTTATTTATTTATTTATTTATTTATTTATTTATTTATTTATTTATTTATTTATTTATTTATTTATGTATTTATTTATTTATTTATTTATAGTGGGGCAGTGAAAAACCAGGGATAGAATACCAAAACTAAAATCCATAACAGAAATGTTACGATGCTTTTGTAAAACGACAATCTAAAAACTATTTGCCAGCAGATGTTCAGTTTGTTATTTTAGAGCTAATATTACTGATTCTGTGACGTCCACAGACCAGAAACTATCTGCACTACTAAAACAGCGCAGTTCTACTGTGTTCTACATCTTTACACATGATGCCCTTACATTAATATTACATATTTCAGCGGCAGAAGTAGTCATAATGTTAGAAGGGGCACACTGGCAGGGGGTCTGGAGGTCCTCCTCCAGAAAATTTTGAATAAATTAGATGCCATTTCCTGCACTCTGGTGTATTTCAACAGGTTAAACAGATAAGTAAACATTTGTTGTCAGTATTCTATAAATCAAGTGGAATGAAATTGTTTGTTAAGCAATAAACAACACTGGGCGAAGTAAAATTTATGGTAAATGTGGGGGTCCAAATGAAATACATTTTAAATGGGGTGGGGACACTTGCCTTCAAAAATGATTGCTGTGATGCCTACGGGCTGTTTGTCATTTTTAAAAAAGTCAAAATATACATTTAAAAACTTTTACAAGGAACAGGCTTTCTCAATTTTAAAGCCATCACCTCTTCTGCGTATGTTAAAACAGTTTGATTTGCTTGTTTATTTTACTTTTGTGAACAAAAATAAATTATAAATATTAATGTTAATTAGGGTCTAATTTTATATTCTGTATAATAATTATTTAAAATAAATAATTAACTATATATTAAAATATATCTATGAACATAACCTCCTGAGAACCTCCATCTTCATTTGAAAACATTGGTAAATATTGAGACTGATTGTCCTTCAGAGGAGCTACAGTATGAGCTAAGACTGGACTCAAGTCACCCGGCACAAAACCTTTTAAAAAATTTCCCCTTTGGCCAAAGGTTCACTGCTGTTAGAGCAAAAACAAGCAGAAACAAAAATATTTATCCCCATTACTGTTTCTCTTTTTAATAACTTTTCCTTCTCCTGCACTGACAAATTCCTGTGTGCAGATCCCTGTCCATTTGGCAAAATAAGTGTGATTGATTTAAATTTAAAACAGTATGTTTTTGTAAAGGCTGCAAACAAAAATGGGATATTAGTGAGCTAATAGTTTGAAACCAGGAGGACATTGATGCTCAGTCAGTGATGTATTTAATCAATCTTTGTGCACTGCAGGAACTCAGAGTTTCTACCTGGAACACACAGATGACATCTTGTGTCTGACTGTCAACCAGCATCCAAAATACAAAAACATCATCGCCACTGGACAGATTGGTACGCTGAGCTAATATTTACACATGTGGGACTGTTTCCTGCTCTCCGTGCATGGCTGTGTGTTTTTCTACTAACTTCACTTTATTCTTGCTTTTCCCTTTTCCGCTTCCTATTTAACCCATCTGATTATTTTTTACTGACAGAATCAAACCAACTGAACTTTCTGACCAACAAGAACAACAAGTACAAAACAACAGTAAAGAGAGACTAAATTATGAATATTTAGTATTTTAGCTAATCTTTTTATGCAACGTTCCTTAAAGATGAGGACCAAGCTTTAGTATTGTGAATAACTGGTGTAACATTAGGAGTAGATCCAGAAGTGCAAAGAAATATGTATACTACATTCATGTTAGCCTTTAATTTTTTCATTACTTTTACAAAACCCTTGATAAGTTAAACTACAGTAACATCAGTAAGTAGCCGGAGTTTGTGTGTAAGGTTGTGTGATACTAGCTAGAACCTTTTTGACCTCGGGCCCAATTCGTTGAACATAAAGTGACACGAGGCCCAGTCAGACTTTACCAATGTATGGATCAAAATGATAATTATTCTAATCTAAATCTTGGTTTAATTTTTATTGTATTTACATCATAACGAAACTAACATAACTAAATTAAATACACTTACAGTTTAAAAGTAAAACTCCTGTCAAATAATCACAAGACTTGATTATGACAAAC